TGTGTGTGTGTATGTTTGTCTTTGTGATAAAAACTTGATCATTTTGGTTAAAGGGATAAACTGTCACTGTTAGGGTTCTTGTATGATGAAGAAGGATATTAGTTTGGAGCGACCCGACATAGCTGGAACTTCAATTCGTTCAATTTGATTTGGGCTTGGGTGTTGAGTTTTAGAAACCCAATACGCGTGAAATTATTTTTCCATTCGATCTTGCTAATTCACCACATTAACCTTCAACTTTATATATTAGTTGATTTGCAACATAACCACACAAACTCATGATTCAAGGCTAAACTAATGTTTCAGAATTGTGATTTACCCGCGCTGCATCGCACGGGTACACCACTAGTCTATCTATATATATATATATGATTCTCTCTCCCCATCGACTTACTCCTCTTCCACATCTTTGCTGAAATCCTCTCTCTTCTCTATTTCGAGAGCTGCCTTTACACCAGTATTCAAATAAGCTGCTGGAGAGGGTTGGTTGAGATTCCCACAGGATCTCCAAATTACGATTGTATGAAAGTGAAAAGAGAGTCCTACTGCTAGAAGTGCTTAGTTGTTAGGAGTAGTAGGCCTTTTGTTGGACAAATAGCGCACCTACACGTCTTCACCCTCTGGTCGAGCTTAATTCCGTCCGGCCTCTCCTCGGCTCACTTCACTACCTTCAAACTTGAATTCGGTGAGCAACTCCACGCCCTTTTTTTTGTAGGGAACATCTGGTAACTATATATGAATACAGTATTAAAGGTGGTATTAGATTATTGAGGTTTGCGCTTTAAAACATCTATTTTCAAAACCTCTGCTTTGAGGTTTAAGCAAATCATAACATCTCTTAATGTATCACTATCACTTGTCTCTTACTGCAAACTGTACATTCATCACAAGTCGTTATACCTACAATAAGAAATGGAAACGCTCTAAGCAAAATCTTTAACAGATATCAAATTAGGAATTTAAATGCAATTGAACCAGGTTTTGGTTGTTTATCAATTGCAACTAGTTTTCCCTGTGAGTTTGTCCACCAATTGTGTTTACTACCGATCAGAAAGTACTGAGACAAGAGGACGTACGCATTACAACCACGAATTAAATTCAACTTCAAATTACTTCGGGTCTAGTTTTGGATTGAAGTTCTGTGATCTTAGTGATGCTTAAAATTTAAACAAAACTAGTTGAGATCAACCATGAACATAGCCATTCATCTCCCACAAAAATGAAAATCAGAAGATGAACAAAATCAAACAACACAGATTGATTACAGTAATAGCTAGCGATAGAGATACATAGCAAAACAACAAACCATTACATATATCGAGCGATTTATGCCCCACTCGTTCTTCAAAAATTCAAACCATATTGCTCATAGAAACACACTACTATTCTAGAAACAAGATACAGATTATTCGTAAAATTTCTTACCACATCAAGCAACCTGAACCTGGATCAACTTAGGCTTTTTGGGCTCCGGTGGAGGAAGTTTCTCAACAGTTACTGTAAGAACTCCATCTTGACAGATCGCAGATATCTTCTCCGTGTTCGCATTCTCTGGCAATACAAACTTCCTCATGATCTTACCGATCCTTCTCTCCATCCTCACATACTTTACTCCTTCCTTCTCTTCCTGTTCGTGTTCCCTTTTCCTCTCTCCACTTATCACCAACACGTTATCGTCCTCCACCTGGACTTTGATATCGCCGGATTTCAGACCCGGCATGTCCACGATGAAGACGTAAGAGTTGAGATACTCTTTCACATCAGCCGGAGTTGCAGCCATTGCTCTTGCATCCCGGACGTAAGCGCGAGTAGGACCGGCGGTGCTTGACTTGTTGTTGTTGTTGCCGTCATCGGTGGCGTCCAGGATGTGATGGAGGTTGCGGAAGAAAGGGGTGTCGAAGCCCATCAAACTGATATCCATTTCGAGTTGTTGATCTTCTTACGAAGTTCGAGCGAATTGAAGTGAGTTGCAGTTGAGATCTTACCGGATTACAGGGTGAAGAAAGAAGCATTTCAATGGTGGATTTATAGCGGAGAAGAAGAAGAGGAAGAGGTGGGTTCTGGAAGGAGAATCGAGGATGTTCTAGTAGTTTCCCGTAGATGTCTGGAAGAGTGGAAGATGAGAGTGGAAAACCGGGTCTCCAATTTTCAAAAATGCTAATTAAAACTAGAGTAAATTACTTTTTCGTCCCTGTTGTTTGTGAGTAATTACTAGTTTTTACCTTTGTATTTTTGAAAATATGATTTTCATCTCTATAATTTTCTAATACATTATTGTTTTTTTATTTTCGTCCATGATATTTAAGGGAGTTTTTGGGATTATTTATTTGAAATAACTTATGTTTTTATACAAAAACAATTATCAATTTATTATAAGTCAAAAAAGTTTAATTTCTTCAAAAACTTTTTATTATAGATTTGGCACCGGTATAACTTGTTTATCCAAACACTCAGAAGTGTTTATTACCGGTGACACATCGAAATAAATAAATAAATTGTTTTTATAAGTAATCCCAAACACCCCCTAAAAGTAAAAGTTACCTTAAAAACGAAAATAATAATAAATTATAAACCATAAAAATGAAACTGCAATTCTAATTTTTTTTAAACTACACACAAGGACTAAAAACTTAAGAGAGTAATTTATAGGGTTCGGGTCCAAGTGGTTTTTGATTTGTTATAGATCCGGTCATTTATCTGAAGTAAATTACAAATTTCGTCCCTCTAGCTTCATCTAGGTTTTGAAGAAGGTCCTTGAACCCAAAATTTTATGGCTAGATCCTTAGGTTTTCACTTTTGTTATGAATAAGATCCCTGGCCATAACTTTGTTAAATTAGTGTAGCTAAGTCAAGGGCATTTTGGTCTTTTTTTCTTTTTTCTTTTATTTTCTATTAAACGATAATTAACATTATATAAACATATTACTAATATATAGATAACATGCCCCAAATCCCACCCCTTCCTGTAGATGAAATCTTCCCTCCACCCCTAGAAAACAATGACACGTCATTCCTATTGTTTTCGGTGAACCCACTTCCATCCCTTCTCTTGTGAGTCCACTCTGTGAACCACAAGTCCCTCCGTTAGTCTCCCCTTCTAAAACATGAAACCCAACCCCCACCGCCTTCGCCTTCCCCAACTACTTCACCACCATCGACCATCCCCTTCTGCCTCTCATCTTCACCTCCGTCTTGAATATATAAAAAGAAAGAAATGGGTTCTATGATTTGGATCTTCATCTTCATCTCTCATCTTCCATGAGAATTTTTGAGCCACACCTACCCACCCACTAGATCTTCGATGGCGATGGTTGATTTGACTTTGAGCAATAATGATGGTAGCTGATTCCAGATGTTTTTCCATGGTATCAGTGCTTCCAGGTTCTAGATATTGGTTTTTAATGCATGAAATAGGTTTGAAAACCTTGGCTTTAGCTCTTCGATGTATGAAATCTTTTTCTTGTTCAAAGTTTTTTGATGGTCCCAGGTTTCAAATCTGGGTTTTTGATGGATGATTTAGGTATACATTTATTATTTAGATTTATGTATAGGTTTATTTTTTAGATTTAGGTTTTCATTTACATAACTTTTGTATAACAAACTTTTTGAATAAATTTGTACATTCTTGAGTGTAAGTTTGATTTTGTGTTTGCATTCCTCTAAATCATATTTGCAGAGATTTTGTGTTAAACCCACTAATTTGGGATGTATAACACCCTCAAATCTTAAAAGAGTGACTAATTTAAAATTTTCAATAAAATATCAATTAAATGATAAATTCTTTTCTATAAATCAATACTTGATTACTTCAAATAACAATTCTAGATTTAACATCAACGAAATGACAAACCATACCTTACGTAAGGTCTAGGCCAAGGTCGGGTTTTATTAAAATCCAAATACAATCGCTATTCCAAAAAAAGAAAATACGGAAGACGTCAATGAATAACTAAATCATTCTCATGCATCTAACCAGCACTCAACTCTTCACTATATCGTTAGTATCATTCCCCAATAGGGACGTGATGCATATGCCGAGAAGCAAAAAGGGTTAGGCTTAATGCCTAGTGAGTTCAAGTAGTTTTCGTCATCTAACCGGCGGGTAACGATTTCGAAAAATTGAGAACCGGAATCAGAACCATTCTCAATCAGTTCCGTATTTTAGGAACCGGAACCACTCATATCGGTTCCGGTTCCGGAACAGGCAGTTCCAAGGTAGTTCTGGTTCCACAAGCGGGTACCCGGTTCCTCTGCTCTCCTCTAATGCCTAGTGAGTTCAAGTAGTTTTCGTGATGAATATAAGACGATAAAACTAAAAGACTACTTATTTAAAACATAATTTCTCAAATGAAATGTCTTTGTCAGAAAAACAACATCTTTTCAAAATCCACCATTTTTGAGATGAAAGCTCTAAATCAAAGTACTCATTCGAATATGAACTCAACACTCACTACTCACTCAAAATATCAACAAAGTCTAATGCTCAAATACTAAAACTCGGATAAAACTTTATTAATCAAAATACCAAAACATGGGTAACACTCAATACCTAAAATTATAAATTATGGATAATGCTCTATACTCAAAATGTCACCAAAAACATGAACAAAACTCAATATCCATAATAGCACTTGAGACCTTTTCCCATTGATCGTGTCGAAACACAAAGTAAGTCATTCATCAACGTTATTAAGTGGCATCCTAAAGTCACGATTTCTGATGCCCAACTCCTCACGAGTTCATCACCACAGTACCTAACATCACAGAGCCCGACCCATACGAGTTCATTTCCTATTATGGAATCTTGGATAACATTTTAGAGGTGGATTATTATGGCGTAGGGGTAGTTTTTTTGTTCAAATGCACTTGGTTTGATATTCTGTTTGGGGTTAGAGTTGACCCTCTACATAATTTGGTAAATATCAAATATAAGTCGAATTACAATACAATGACCTGTTCATCCTAGCATTACAAGCAGATAAGTCTACTATACTTCATATCCTTCGATAACAAAGAATTTGAAAGATTAGTGAGCGGTTTTCTTTCAAATCAACGAAAGGGTGACTCATACAATGCCCACATGATTAAATGAGAACCTCAATTCCGTTCATCTTTCCACAAAGTATTCAATATTATTAATAAAAATAGCAATGAGGAAGCAGAATTTGAAGAAATATATGATGATTCAGATAACAAATATGAATTAATGTTATCTAATCATTATTCTAATGAGTAGCATATCTTTTGTATGTTTATTTCACAATTGTATAATTGTGATTTATCATTATATTTTTTTTTGATAGAATATAATATTCGTTTTTGCAGGTGATGAAATGCTGTTAGTAGGGTTAGTAGTAGAGGTCGAGGTTGAGATATCCTCAACTTTGATAACGACTCCTCTAGCACGCTTTGCGACCCGCGTATTGATGATTGCGATGGGTTTTTGGATGATTCCATACTGACCATTGACCTCGAGGATCTGGATCAGGAGAATCAAAAAGAGGTCTCATATTCGAGTGGTTCAGTGTAAAACCTCATACAACACATTGCATGTAACACATACTTCATACAGAAGAAATACATGTTTATACACCATTCAGGTCCCTTAGTACAAGAAATTACCATACAGAATACATGCCTCAAAAATTCAAAATACATTTATTGTACTATTCAACATTCATTAATCAAAACTATACATCAGAGACAAATCTTCATGTAGAAATGCATATGGGAAAATATCACATTTTCCCCTTTCCCTTACCGTCTGTACCTCCTGCAATACATATTTAAAATCACAAAACGAGGGTTAGACCGAAAGGTCTAGTGAGTTACCCTATTTATGATATTGCAGGGTGAAATCACTAAAACCTTTATGAAAACAACTTTTCATATATATAACAAATATATGAACAAATAGGGACATATTACCAGTTCCTCTCCATTTTTCAAGCCAAACATTCAGCTATTCAAATAACATACCTTTAAACCAACCAGATTTCATATAATGTCACTTTTAAACCTTTTCTAATCAACAAGGTTTATTTAAAGTTTCAGGCCAAACCTGTTATTTTCTCTTCAATAACATCTAGACTATGATTTCCAATAAGAACTTTGATCCTAAATCTTTAAATCACAAAGAAATAAAGATTCCAGACCACGGTAGTCTTAAGAGATATAATAGAAAGAGTTATATTATACAATACACATACAAATGCCACCCTTATATCCAAATGTACACCTCTCCTTGATATGCCACCCTCATCGCATGGTACACCTCTCCTTGATATGTCACCCTTATCCCATGGTACACCTCTACTTAATATACCACCCTTATTTCCTCATCAAAACATTTCACAAAAATAATTCCAAATAGACCGCAGTCAAATGGAATTATTATCAGTTCAAAATTATCTTTATCAAAATTCCCATTGTCATATAATTATCCATTGATACTAGAAACACAAAATAGTGGTATCACATAATTATCCATTACATTAATAAAGTCACTAACAAATAAACATCTCAATAAATGTTATACTTCTCTAAGTGGGTGAATACCAAATATCATAGGGAATAAATAATATTGCATAGTGTATATATCAAGTTCTGAATATTTTAGAGTAACAATAAAACCAAGTTACCAACCCTAAATCTGAACATTATGCAGAGGTTAGGAATATTTTAGAGCAACAATAATATTAATTCACTTAGGGTTAGGGAAGAAACATAGTAGGAACAAATTTGAACATTATGTAGAGATGGAAGAAACATAGATTATGAACAAAATGAAGAAATATAATACGAACTTACAAAGTTGTGTTGTAAATTGTGAGCTACTGTTGTGTTCACTTGACGAGTTTGGACAAAGGAGAGATCATGACCATGATCTACGAGCGACGGCGAACGAGTGACACTATGAAAAAGGACTGAAAGTGACAGGAAGTGGGAACTGATGAATCTGATTCTGATCTATTCGGTTTCTAAACCCCGATTAATCTGATCTTTTCGATTTCTATTTTCTAAAAGCCTTTTAGGGATTAGCTATTTAGGGTTTGGGATTTTAAA